TAAGTCAAAATTGGAGGACGATCGTAGGACATACCAACAAACCTGCTACTTGTGCTTGATAATAGAAAACTCATCTTGGTTTCCCAGCTTTCCACGCATCCAGCACTCTAGAAAAATTGCTGAAGTAAAGGCGATACATGCGAGTGGAATTATAAGGTTGAATAACAGCCGCATCGAGCACTGCGGTGCATTCCATCGCTGTAACATTTTTTTGTGGAATTTTCTGAAATGGTATGTCGCCAGTGGCTTCTTCCGTCATGCACGACGAATCATTCTCTCCACGTGAGAGCACGTATCCCGGTGCTGTATAAGTACCCGTTCTCAATAACTTGCAGAATGACGTCTTCTAAAGTAAGCATTTCAAATTCTTTGCCTTGTCTAGGCTCCAAACCTCATCATACTGCACCACTGCGCATTCGCTTTCTTCATAGCAAGCTCTCAAGCACTGAACTTGATCTTCCGAATAGAAGTAGAACATATAGCTCCCATGCTTAGCAACAGAAGTGAAGCGGAACACGCCAGAATTAGAGGTCTGAATTCAGTGAAATTTGTTTGATGTACATGTAATGAACCGAAACAGCCTACCATCCTTGCTAGGACGAAAAAAGTCAAAACTCTTGCAGTGATGAACATCAAGTAGACTGAAGTCAAACCTTCACCTTACTCACACCAAAGAGTTAGGATACACTGAATGCTCGATGTGCTGGGAAAAATGGTTTCTTTGTGTCTTCTCTCTTTGTCTTGCTTCCCATGGCTTAGCAACCACATGACCAATTACAATATATTAGGTCCCGAAAGCACTTGTGTTTTTTTTCAAACAATGTCTCAATCACGGAACAAAGATTCGAAGAAAATCTTCGCAGCATTCGATGCAGTTTTATGGTCTTTCGAAAAAAATTACGTTTAACGAATTCTTAGAAGATTAGAAAAACAGCGACCTGTGGTTTTTACCAAAGTCAAGTTTTGTTAGTTTTTAAATTTCCCATTATTTCTCTGAAGGTCCAGCAGGAATAAACAGAGCAAACGCTACAGAATAGAAAAAAAATTTTGTTCTCGTCCTCATGATTTGCCATGAAATTTTCAGCATCAATTTTAACAAAATTGTATCAAACGCAGATTCATCAAACCAATATACTCTCGATTAAGTGGTTATGTGCTGTAATTGAACAGAACTAATAAACGTTCAAGGATTCGAAATTCCAAATCTTGTATCTTCCGCTTACAGCTTGGGGCGCTTTCAAAAACATGAATTCCATGGATTTTATTTTCCAGTACGAATCAGAAGCAGAAAACACTCTTAGAAAGAGGAGAAAATGTTGCATGGAATATTACAGGAGTTGTTCGCCCGTTGATATTCTGTGAGATTTGAGTTGGTCCTATAGAATTTGTTAGGGTCAAAAAAACATTTTTGAAAAATTTAAAAATTCAGCTATGGAG